TAAGTTGACGGCAAATGTTACTGCCGTATTCGCAGTTGTTTATAAATCATATTAGGCTAAGACGGGATACGCTTTTTCTTAATAACCGACTATATATTCATTTGTTCGTACATAGATTCTTGACAGTTTCATCATCAAATTGAGATATCTAAGAGGATATTTCGACATCCAGTGAAACGGATAGAAATGAGTGCTATCATTAGGGCTTGGTCGGAGACCTAGAATGTGTCTCAAAAAGATGGGACTCTTCAACGATGAGTGATGGCATTGTAACCTATATAAATATTTGAGCATAACTACAGAAGACGGTCACCGTTATCTGTTTGCTAGGAATGAAAGCTAAAAGATTCACTTAAGTGTTTCTCAGCATAACTAAGCCTACAGACTAAGGAGTTAAAAAACCTGCGACGATTATTGTTTCTGAGAACCCAGATTTCTGAAAGAGATCAGAATGCCTTCTGCAAAACTCATTTTTATTGTGATTAGTAGAGGGCATTTCCACAAACGACAAAGAGATAACAATATGTTTTTATATCTTATCAACTTCTTATTGTACCATTAAATTGCACAATACATGAGAAACTATCAGTATGAATACAGGCAAGATGTCCTGTTCCTATCATATCTCTAAAAGCATGAAGTGTAGATTGCATTGGCTCACCATACTAACTAGCTCAGATCAAGTTAACGAACCCACTAGGATACTGTATGCATATTTCGGAGACAGCAAACATTAATGGCACAATATTCTACGATCATACTTAGTGGTGAAGCCTGTTGTTCGACTTGACACAGGGTTTACTTACTTACTTACGCCTGTTACTCCCAATCGAGCATAGGCCGCCGACCAGCATTCTCCAACCCACTCTGTCCTGGGCCTTTTCTAGTTCCATCCAATTCTTGTCCATTTTTCTCATATCTATCTCCATTTCTCGGCGTAATGTATTCTTTGGTCTTCCTCTCCTCCTTCGACCTTGAGGATTCCATGTGAGGGCTTGTCTTGTGACGCAGTTCGGTGCTTTCCTCAATGTGTGTCCTATCCACTTCCAGCGCTTCTTCCTGATTTCTTCCTCCATTGGGATCTGATTTGTTCTCTCCCACAGTAGGTTGTTGCTAATAGTGTCCGGCCAGCGGATCCGAAGTATTTTGCGTAGACAACTGTTAATAAACACCTGTATCTTTTGGACGATGGATTTCGTAGTTCTCCAGGTTTCCGAGCCATACAGTAGAACTGTCTTGACATTTGTATTGAAAATTCTGACTTTGGTGTTGGTTGCCAATTGTTTTGAGTTCCAGATATTCTTCAGTTGTAAATATGCTGCTCTTGCTTTGCCAATCCGTGCCTTCACATCTGCATCAGATCCACCGTGTTCATTAATGATGCTGACCAGGTTTGTAAAGGTTTTTACATCTCCAAAGCTTCTCCGTCAATTGTGATTGGATTGTTACATGCTGCGTTGAATCGAAGAATCTTGCTTTTCCCTTGGTGTATATTGAGACCTATTGCTGCTGAGGCTGCAGCTACACTGGTTGTCTTTTCCTGCATTTGTTGTTGCGTATGCGATAGAAGAGCCAGATCATCTGCGAAGTCTAGATCATCCAATTGCATCCTAGCTGTCCACTGTATCCCGTGCTTCCCTTCAGATGTTGACGTCTTTATGATCCAGTCAATCACCAGGAGAAAGAGAAAGGGTGAGAGTAAGACACCTTGCTTGACACCGGTCTTTACTTCGAACGACTTTGTCAACTGTCCTCCATGAACGATTTTGCAGTTTCATCCATCATAAGAATTCCGTATTATATTGACTATCTTCTGAGGCACGCCGTAGTGTCGAAGAAGCTTCCATAGGGTTGTTCTGTCCACGCTATCAAATGCTTTTTCGTAGTCATTGAAGTTGATATAGAGTGATGAATTCCATTCAATTGATTGTTCCACAATGATCCGTAGTGTTGCGATTTGGTCTGTGCACGATCTATCCTTACGGAACGCAGCCTGTTGGTCTCGAAGTTGTGCGTTTACGGAGTCCTTCATCCTGTTTAACAATACCCTGTTGAAGACTTTTCCTGGTATTGAGAGAAGAGTGATTCCCCTGTAGTTTTCACAGTTGATGAGATTGTCTTTCTTTGGTATTTTGACTAGAAGTCCTTCTTTCCAGTCTTTTGGTACCTGTTCCTCATCCCAGATCTTTCTGAAGAGAGTTTGGAGTATCCTTGCAGTTGCCGCTACGTCTGCTTTCAGTGCCTCTGCTGGAATGTTTTGTGGTCCTGCTGCTTTGCCACTATTGATTTGTCTGATGGTCATGCTGATTTCTTCAGTTGTTGGTGGACCAACATCGATTGGGAGGTCCGTGAGTGCTGCTTCGATGTTGGGTGGGTTCAGTGGAGCTGGTCGATTCAAGAGTTCTTTGAAGTGTTCTGCCCACCTGTTTCGTTGTTTTTCAATGGTGGTGATTACCTTGCCTTCCTTGTTTTTCACTGGTCGTTCTGGTTGACGGTGATTTCCAGAGAGTTTCTTTGTTGTGTCATACAGTTGTCTCATGTTTCCTTCTCTGACAGCCTTTTCCGCCGTCATTGCTATATCTTCCACACATTTACGTTTGTCAGTTCTGATGCTCCTCTTCACTTGCTTGTTTACTTCTGTGTATTCAGCTTGTGCCTTGGCTTTTTCTGCTCTTGTTCGACTGTTATTGATTGCTGCCTTCTTGTTCCTCCTTTTTTGAATCTTATCCAGTGTATCGACCGTGATCCAATCCTTGTGATGGTGCTTCTTTTGGCCCAGAACCTCATGACATGTTGAAGTGATTGCCTCTTTTATCTCTTTCCAGTTGCTCTCCATAGTAGTTTCTTCTCCATTGAGTAGATCATGAAAGGCCTGGAACTTATTGCTGAGGGTTATCTTGAATTTATTGAGTTTGTCATTATCCCGAAGAAGAGCCGTATTAAATTTTTGTGATATTGTCCTCCCCGTTGTCCAGTGCCTCTTGAGTTTCAATTTCATCTTGGCGATCAGAAAGTGATGATCTGATGCTATATCGGCTCCTCTCTTGGTTCTCACGTCCTCCATCGTCCTCCTGGACTTTTTGTTGATGCAGATATGGTCGATTTGGTTCTGTGTGCTGTGATCCGGTGAAGTCCATGTGGTTTTGTGTATGCGTTTATGTGGGAATATAGTCCCGCCTATGACCAGTTTTTTGAAGGCACATAGATTTGCAAATCTCTCACCATTTTCGTTCCTTTCTCCCAGTCCGTGTCGTCCCATGATCTCTTCATATCTGGTGTTGTCAATTCCAACCTTGGCATTTAGGTCTCCCATCAGAATAGTCAGGTCCTTTGTTGGGCACTTCTCGACGATTGACTGCAGCCTATCGTAGAATTGATCTTTAGCGTCTTCATTGTAGTCGTTGGTAGGCGCGTAGCATTGGATGACGTTCATTGTAATCCCCGTTTTCTTTGTTTTGAGAAGGCCTTGATGATCCTTGGCCCATGAGATTCCCATCCTATAAGTGCATTTTGTGCTTGTTTGGACAGCATCAGTGCAACTCCTTGTGTATGTGGGACATTTTCTTGTTCATGTACGGAGTATAATAGCAGCTCCCCTGAAGCTAGTCGTTGTTGTCCAACTTGCGTCCAATGTGTTTCACTGATCCCAAGTACCTCTAAATTGTATCTCCTCATTTCTGCAGCAATTTGGAAAACTCTCCCAGTCTCGCACATTGTACGAGCATTCCATTTATCAAAATAAATGGTTGCTCTGGTTGTCAGAAGAGGCATCGAACTCGTGACTTCAGAACGAACTCAGCTTTTACCATGAAGCGTCATAATTCTTCTAAACGAAGACCTCTTGACTCCCAGGGCAGAGTCTAAATGGTTTGAATAATTTTTTCTGGTTAGCGCTTTTTTAGCGAGTTAGTTTTTTACGGGATGGGGTCGCTAATCCCATGCCCAACCCTCCTCCATATCCGGGCTTGGGACCGGCAGTAGACCCCCGAAAGGGACTCCAGGCGGACATGCGATAATCCAACGTGTAGTTCAGAGAGTCTTTTCAAAGAACCTAGAGTAGCTTTCAGTCAGCAGGACTATTTAGCATTAGAGGCTCATGAAGAAAAAATAAATATTAAGTCTCAGAGGGATCCCAGTGTCAACAAGGCAATCTCATGTGTTGTTACAGGTATGAGAGCGGTTGTTACTTTTCCTTCCCCCATATCGTCGAAAGATATTTCTTCTCAAAACGCCTGAGGAGAAAACTGGATTCCTTGCGACTTGGGAGCGTGACTGCAGAACATAAGTCGCAAGGAATCCAGTTTTCGCCTCAGGCGTTTTGAGAAGAAATATCCTTCGACTCAAACCAGTCACACACGACCATTTAGTAAACAGTTGTAGATACTCCAACATACTTTTCAGATCTCACCACCAGGGATGAAAATCTGTGGGACAAGGTGAAATCTGTTGTTTACAGAGCCTCATTAATATCCGACCCCTATACAGTCAACAGTACGACTTCACCCTCAGACTTCAAGTTGCTACTCCTAGTTTTAACGTCCCTCCAATTTACCTGGATGAGATGGTAAGACCTAAAGGAACAAGTGATCCAGCCAATGTAGCCAGATTACGTTATCTCAATATGCAAGCGCAATTTCAATTTTATAGTAGTACTTAATGTTTTACTTAAAGCGAGAGCTTTTAATCTCATGATATATATACACTATACATAATAGTTTATAGAATAACTGATAACGTATTTCATTGTCTACTAATCTTCAATAACCTAATCTATTAGAGGGATATTCTACAAGACAACTAGTAGTGTAGAAAGAAATAAATGGAACGTTTAGCAATGCTGTGCTCAGGGTATAAGTAACCTATCTGTTCCCCCGGCAGATATTATGGGGTCATTTGGCAAATGAAACTAGATTGAAGCTAAATATTACAATCAACGCAGAGCAAACTGGAACAGAATTTTTAAAAACACAAGTGATTAAACAAACAAGAAGTTAACTCACTTGAAAATATTTGTATGATCATAGCGTCCGCCGATACCAACTTCGAAAATCCCGACATCTACCTAGAAGTAAAGATTAAGAGTTAAACCTTTAAAATAAACAAATAACAATGATTGACTTCCACAGTAAACTGTTGCTGATGGTATCCGGCACAACGGACATTCAGGATCTTGCATAGACAACTGTTTATAAATACTTGTAGTGGTTCTCCAAGTTTCAGTTCCGTGAAGTAGAACTGTTTTGACGTTCGCATTGAAGATTCTGACTTTGATATTGGATGACAGTTGTTTTGAGTTCCATATGTTCTTTAACTGTAGGAATGCTGTCCTTGTTTGCTAATCTTTGCATTCACATCTCCATCAGATCCTCCACATTCATCAATGATGCTACCCAGGTACATGGAAGACTCCACCTCTTCCGAAGTTTTAGCATCAAGCGTGATTGGGTTGCTGTTCGCCGTGTTGTGTTTGAGGATCTTGCTTTTTCCCTTGTGTAATTTGACGTCTACGGATGCGGACGCTGCTGCTACACTAGCCGTCTTCACCTTCATTTGTTGGTGTGTATAGGATAGAAGAGTCAAGTCATCTGCGAAATCCAAATCGTCTAGTTGCATCCAACCTATCCACTGTACTCCGTGATTCCTTTCAGATATCTACGTCTTCATAATCCAGCCAACCACCAGAAGAAAGAGAAAGAGTGAAATTAAGCAGCCTTGTCTGACTCCGGTCCTTATTTGGAATGCGTCTGTCAGATGTCCTCCATGCACCATTTTGCACTGTAGTCTGTGGTATTAATTCCGGATGACGTTGACGATCTTCTCAGGTACTCCATAGTGTTGGAGAAGTTACCATAAAAAGTTCCTATCCACACTGTTAAATGCTTTCTCATAGTAAAGGATTCTGATGTGTAGTGACGAGTTTCATTTAATTGATTGTTCAACAATGATCCATAGTGTCGTGATTTGGTCTGTACATGACCGATCCTTGTGGAATCCAGCCTATTGATCTCACAGTTGGGCGTCCACTGAATCCTTCATCCGGTCCAGCTAAACTCTGTTGAACACTTTTCCTAGATTGACATCTATAGGAAGGTCTGTAGGTGCTGCTTCGATATCAAGTGTATTCAATTGAGCTGGCCTATTCAAGAATTCTTCAAAGTGTTCTACCCACCTGTTTCCATGTTCTTGAGTCTCAGTGACTGTCTTGCCGTCTTTGTCAGTGATCGGTCTCTCTGATTTACTATATTTCCCTACCAGTTTCTTCGTTGTGTCCCATAGTTGTTTCATATTTTCTCCTGTTGCAGCTTCTTCCACTTTCGTTGCAAGCTCTTTCACGTATTTCTGCTTTTGAGCTCTAGTGCTGCTCTTCACCTGCTTGTTTGCTTCTATGTATTCAGTTCGCGCCTTGGAGTTCGCTGTTCATGTTAGGCTGTTGAAAGAGATCCATTCCTTATTATGTTGCTTCATGCGGCTCAGAACCTCCTAACACATTGAAGTTGGTGCTTCTTCAGTCCCTTTTGAATTGTCCTTCACAGTAGTTTCTTCTTTCAGTGAACCTTGTAAGGCTTGGAGCATCTTGTTGAGGAATATATTGAATTCGTCAAGTTTTTCAGTATCTCAAAGGAGGGCTGTATTGAACCTTTGCACTGCTGTTTCTCAAGTTGTCCAATACTTCATTGGCTTCAGTTTCATCTTGACCACAACCAGGTGGTGATTTAAAAGTATATAAGTTTCTCTCCTCCAAATCGACCATATCTGCATCAAAAAGTTCAGGAGGACGATGGAGGACGTGAGAACCAAGAGAGGAGCCGATATAGCATCAGATCATCACTTTCTGATCGCCAAGATGAAATTGAAACTCAAGAGGCACTGGACAACGGGGAGGACAATATCACAAAAATTTAATACGGCTCTTCTTCGGGATAATGACAAACTCAATAAATTCAAGATAACCCTCAGCAATAAGTTCCAGGCCTTTCATGATCTACTCAATGGAGAAGAAACTACTATGGAGAGCAACTGGAAAGAGATAAAAGAGGCAATCACTTCAACATGTCATGAGGTTCTGGGCCAAAAGAAGCACCATCACAAGGATTGGATCACGGTCGATACACTGGATAAGATTCAAAAAAGGAGGAACAAGAAGGCAGCAATCAATAACAGTCGAACAAGAGCAGAAAAAGCCAAGGCACAAGCTGAATACACAGAAGTAAACAAGCAAGTGAAGAGGAGCATCAGAACTGACAAACGTAAATGTGTGGAAGATATAGCAATGACGGCGGAAAAGGCTGTCAGAGAAGGAAACATGAGACAACTGTATGACACAACAAAGAAACTCTCTGGAAATCACCGTCAACCAGAACGACCAGTGAAAAACAAGGAAGGCAAGGTAATCACCACCATTGAAAAACAACGAAACAGGTGGGCAGAACACTTCAAAGAACTCTTGAATCGACCAGCTCCACTGAACCCACCCAACATCGAAGCAGCACTCACGGACCTCCCAATCGATGTTGGTCCACCAACAACTGAAGAAATCAGCATGACCATCAGACAAATCAATAGTGGCAAAGCAGCAGGACCACAAAACATTCCAGCAGAGGCACTGAAAGCAGACGTAGCGGCAACTGCAAGGATACTCCAAACTCTCTTCAGAAAGATCTGGGATGGGGAACAGGTACCAAAAGACTGGAAAGAAGGACTTCTAGTCAAAATACCAAAGAAAGGCAATCTCATCAACTGTGAAAACTACAGGGGAATCACTCTTCTCTCAATACCAGGAAAAGTCTTCAACAGGGTATTGTTAAACAGGATGAAGGACTCCGTAAACGCACAACTTCGAGACCAACAGGCTGCGTTCCGTAAGGATAGATCGTGCACAGACCAAATCGCAACACTACGGATCATTGTGGAACAATCAATTGAATGGAATTCATCACTCTATATCAACTTCAATGACTACGAAAAAGCATTTGATAGCGTGGACAGAACAACCCTATGGAAGCTTCTTCGACACTACGGCGTGCCTCAGAAGATAGTCAATATAATACGGAATTCTTATGATGGATGCGCACCAGCATTGTCAATCCAACTCTGTTCTGGGTAAGCCATTCTAGTTCTTTCCAGTTGCTATTCATCTTTTTCATGTTTGTTTCCAATTCTTGGCGCAGTGGGTTCCTTGGCCTTTCGCTTTTCCGTTTCCCTTCAGAATTCTAAGTTAGCGCTCGCTTCATCATGCATTTTGATGTTTTCTGTAATGTATGTCCTATCCACTTTCAACGTAGTTTCCTAATTTCCTGCTCAGCTTGAACCTGGTCTTCCACAGTAAACTGTTGCTGATGGTATCCGGCACAACGGACATTCAGGATCTTGCATAGACAACTGTTTATAAATACTTGTAGTGGTTCTCCAAGTTTCAGTTCCGTGAAGTAGAACTGTTTTGACGTTCGCATTGAAGATTCTGACTTTGATATTGGATGACAGTTGTTTTGAGTTCCATATGTTCTTTAACTGTAGGAATGCTGTCCTTGTTTGCTAATCTTTGCATTCACATCTGCATCAGATCCTCCACATTCATCAATGATGCTACCCAGGTACATGGAAGACTCCACCTCTTCCGAAGTTCTAGCATCAAGCGTGATTGGGTTGCTGTTCGCCGTGTTGTGTTTGAGGATCTTGCTTTTTCCCTTGTGTAATTTGACGTCTACGGATGCGGACGCTGCTGCTACACTAGCCGTCTTCACCTTCATTTGTTGGTGTGTATAGGATAGAAGAGTCAAGTCATCTGCGAAATCCAAATCGTCTAGTTGCATCCAACCTATCCACTGTACTCCGTGATTCCTTTCAGATATCTACGTCTTCATAATCCAGCCAACCACCAGAAGAAAGAGAAAGAGTGAAATTAAGCAGCCTTGTCTGACTCCGGTCCTTATTTGGAATGCGTCTGTCAGATGTCCTCCATGCACCATTTTGCACTGTAGTCTGTGGTATTAATTCCGGATGACGTTGACGATCTTCTCAGGTACTCCATAGTGTTGGAGAAGTTTCCATAAAAAGTTCCTATCCACACTGTTAAATGCTTTCTCATAGTAAAGGATTCTGATGTGTAGTGACGAGTTTCATTTAATTGATTGTTCAACGATGATCCATAGTGTCGTGATTTGGTCTGTACATGACCGATCCTTGTGGAATCCAGCCTATTGATCTCACAGTTGGGCGTCCACTGAATCCTTCATCCGGTCCAGCTAAACTCTGTTGAACACTTTTCCTAGATTGACATCTATAGGAAGGTCGGTAGGTGCTGCTTCGATATCAAGTGTATTCAATTGAGCTGGCCTATTCAAGAATTCTTCAAAGTGTTCTACCCACCTGTTTCCATGTTCTTGAGTCTCAGTGACTGTCTTGCCGTCTTTGTCAGTGATCGGTCTCTCTGATTTACTATATTTCCCTACCAGTTTCTTCGTTGTGTCCCATAGTTGTTTCATATTTTCTCCTGTTGCAGCTTCTTCCACTTTCGTTGCAAGCTCTTTCACGTATTTCTGCTTTTGAGCTCTAGTGCTGCTCTTCACCTGCTTGTTTGCTTCTATGTATTCAGTTCGCGCCTTGGAGTTCGCTGTTCATGTTAGGCTGTTGAAAGAGATCCATTCCTTATTATGTTGCTTCATGCGGCTCAGAACCTCCTAACACATTGAAGTTGGTGCTTCTTCAGTCCCTTTTGAATTGTCCTTCACAGTAGTTTCTTCTTTCAGTGAACCTTGTAAGGCTTGGAGCATCTTGTTGAGGAATATATTGAATTCGTCAAGTTTTTCAGTATCTCAAAGGAGGGCTGTATTGAACCTTTGCACTGCTGTTTCTCAAGTTGTCCAATACTTCATTGGCTTCAGTTTCATCTTGACCACAACCAGGTGGTGATTTAAAAGTATATAAGTTTCTCTCCTCCAAATCGACCATATCTGCATCAAAAAGTTCAGGAGGACGATGGAGGACGTGAGAACCAAGAGAGGAGCCGATATAGCATCAGATCATCACTTTCTGATCGCCAAGATGAAATTGAAACTCAAGAGG